TTTTCTTTCATCTTAGTGGACTAGGCTCCTTTTTATTAATTTTTTATCTATTATTTTTTAAAGCACTCATGATCACTATTCATATATGTATTGCATTTCGAACAAATATATAGTTTACAAAGGACTAAAGAACTTGGGAGGTGAGAAAGTCAATGTAAATCCCTTACCGAGAATACATCTAATTTCCAATCAATCCCATTGATTGCGGAAAAGTGAGTCAATAATCAAAGTAAATTATAAATCCCAAAGACTCACCCTAAGAGAAATTTAATAAAGTATTTGTAAAAGAAAGACTTTAGTCTCACCATAGAAGACTTAGTGTTATCAATGTTATTTATGATAATCGTAAAAAACAAGTTTGCCAATCACTTCACCTAATTCCTTTGATATATAATATGTTCCCACCTCAGCTTCCTTATTTTTCGTTTTTTCTTTATAATTTTACATGAAAAATTTTTGTTACACGAGATAGGTATAGATCACTAAAAATTAATTACTCACGTAGGTTAATTCCGTTGGTTACAAAGATGGAATCTCATTTTCTTGTCACATAAAATTTGATTCTTAAACAATCAAGCTGATACGAAAAAAAATATACTCTTAAAATCATTTGAAAAAGAAATTAAGCATCTAATTGTAAATTATTATTATTATTTTAGGCTGAAATTGCAGCGTTTGCATTATCATTATTGATATCATAATTACAACTGCGACTACTGACATTTGAAACTAATAAAGGCTAGGATAGAGAAACACACTAAACAATAAGGCAAAGAAAAAAAGCTATCAAATTGTGTATTTTGATCACGTATCAATATTAGATAAGGATCAACTTATAAAGCCTGAAATTGACCCGATTCACTACTAAAATTCACACTCTTGTTTCTTGATATTCCAGTAGGAGACTTGGTACCATTAACAGCTCTGGAGGCATCAGTTTCTGTCATATTGCAAATGAGATGAAAACCAACTGTACGAGGAAAATAAATAGAAGCTTATGATTACAAGAATTTGTTGCGCCTAAAGCAATAATCACAATAATACAAAAATAATATATCGTAATAAATCTACAGCAATAGACAACAATCAATAATAAAAAACATAAAAAAATAAAACACATCAAGATTTACGTGAAAAACCCTTCAGTGTAAAAGAAAAAATTACGGACCACCATAAAAATCTTCACTATCAAATAATGGATATATAAAGTTTTTCTTTAGTTAAAACTAGAGATAATCAATAACTAGAGAGATAATTGAAGAAATATCATCAAATAGGTGACTCAACAAATACACCATAAATTTCTTCCTAGAGAGCTTCAAACTCAATCTTCACCATTCAGAATATAAAACTCTGAATCATAAATCTCATGACAAAGTTTCAACTCAATCAAATCATGAATCAACTTCTGTTCAACCAACTCTCTCTTCTCTTTTTTCTCTCTAATTTTTTCTGGCATTTTTTCTTTCTCTTCTTGGTTTGCAACACCACCACAAAACAACCCTACCTCTTTTTTTTTTATTAAACAGTTAGGGCTCTATGTAAAATGAAATATCAAGGTCCATGGCTTTACTTAGTCCAAAACTAATAGGACCTCATTTTCCTAACAAAATTTGTTTTGGAAACTTTTCTTGTGAAAGGATTTATGTTTGATATTTTATTAATATTTAAATGCTATTATTTTATTTTAATTTATGCACCTTATGGTCTATCTAAATTGTTAGTTATAGCTTGCAAGAGTAGTATCACGGAAATTCTAAGATAATTATATTATGTGTTTTGAGGTATGACTTACCAACCATTGTTTTTGTAGTGAGGAAAGATTTAAATAAAATTTTTTAAATGAAATTCGTGAAGTGATTTAATAAAAACAATTAAATAAAAATTAAAATCAGAAAACAAAATCAACAAATTAAAAAATCTCATTACATAGATCAAATCTATATAATTTGAAAAAATTTTAATAAAATTTGATATATTTTTTAGATAGATATTTTTAATAAAAATATTACAAAACTTTTACTATTGAATAAATATCGATCAAATTTAAATTATAAATAACATTTTAATAATTTCTTTTACATATTATTAATTTTCATATTAAATTTTTATCAATTTATCACTTTAAATTTTTTATTAAAGTTTTATTAAATTATTTTTAAAAAAGAATTTTACAAATTTCACTAAAGAATTTTGTGTAAATTTTGTCTATTGTGATAGTTATAATACTCTTATAAAAGGGATTTTAAAAAATCATGATAAAGAATTGGGATTTATAATTTAAGAAAAAATCAATGAATGAAGATGTAGATGGATAAGTACAAAATAAAATTTTGTAATTTTGTAATTAGAAATAGTAGTATTTTACTTTAGGCATGTTTCACTCAAATTTCATAATCAAAATTTAGTTATGAATAAGTTTAACTTTAAATTTTCAATAATTAATAAATAAATAAACCCTCCAACATCAACTTTAAGCGACAAAAGGTGAAAAGGACAAAAGAAATTTCATTGAAATTCAATTCTGTGGGTATGAAAGAATTGGGAAGAAACCCTGTGTAAAATCCCTTACTCAAAATACATTTAGTTTCTAATCAATCCAATTGATGGGGTAGCCTTTTCAAATCAATTGCGGAAAAGTGAGTCAATAATTAAAATAAAGTATAAACCCCAAAGACCCGGCTATGGAAAATTTTAAAGTGTTCGAAAAAGAAAAGTTTTTGTCTCGTTATTGTAGAAGACTAGTGTTATCAATATCATATAACAATTGTCTTAATTTTTTTTTTAGATAATATTTAATGCATTAGATGATAAATAAGATAGGATGATAATCATTTTATTTTATGTTTGGTTTAGGATAATTTAATCCTCTTAAAATGAAAATTATAATTTTTAATTCATTGAGATTAAATTTACATGTTGTATTATACACTCAAAAATTACTTCAATAATTTAAATTATATAAACTTTGAGAAATGACAATTTTGACCAACAAATAAAATTATTCTACTTTAATCTTTGTATAAATCAAATATAAGGTAGGATTACATTATTTAATCTAATTTTATTAAAAATATCATTTTATCTTATCTTATTCATAATCTTATATATCAAACATGTCATTAATTTCCAAAATTTCCTCAACAGACTAATAATATGTTTTTAGATTTTTTTTTTAATTTGACTTACTAAAAACCATCCACACATGTTAATTCTACTACTAAAGATGGAGTCTATTTTATTTTTAATATTTTGATTCCATATTAAAAATAAGTCAAAAATAAAATTTTAAATGCAGCAAGTCAATATGTAAATGTATATCATATTTTACTAAACCTAGCAACAACAATAATTCATTTCTCCTTTTAATTGATCACAAATCTGTTTTTAAATTAATTTTCAGGATCCCCAAGGGATGGACTATCACTCTGTTGTAGAAGGTACTGTTAAGGGGTACAGTAATTGTTTCTAATCATCTTGAATGCATATCTTTTGAGAAATCTTATATATCCCACCTTGCTTTCTCAGGCTGATGGTATTACTGGACTTGATGACTTACTAAATGATATTCTCTCAAATGAAATGACTATCAATGTACTATGTCACAGAAAATCTGAAGAATTCTCAGTCTGGTATATACTAAACTAACACGACGAAAATGGCAGAATTTCTTATTAAAATCAAAGGGAATTTTAAGAGCAATGTAAAATTCCCATTTTTTTCTTGTTCAACTGTTGAAACCATCAGTAATGCTTTTCTTTCATCTTAGTGGACTGGGCTCTTTTTTATTAATTGTTTATCTATTTATTTTTTAATGCCCTCATGATCACAATTCATATATGTATTGCATTTCTAACGAATATATAGTTTACTATTTTTTTATTTTATTTTCCAACAATATGATATAAACTAATTTTTTTTAATAAAATAGGGGTATTTAAACAATTATTAAACAAAAAATATGGATTAATCACTAAAACAGGAGATTAATTTTTTTAAAATTATGAAATGTAAACTTTATGCTCATAAGGGAACCACGAAAACAACCGGAAATAACAACGGTTGAGATGGAAATTGACTAAAGAGTAAAATCTCAATAGTTAAATTAAAATAACGAGGTGGCACTTGTCACACGATATACACTATCCAGTGTTGAAATTGAAACGATTTTTTATGTGTCTTAATCCGACGGTTCAGTAGCTAACTAGTTCTTACAATAAATAATTAAGTTCCCTATATGTTTTGGCATTATTATTAATCTTGAATAATTTGATTGTTGAATGAAAGTCCATTTAACTTGGTTCATTTTATTTCAAATTTTAATTTTCAGGTTTTTAAAATTTTTTAACATAGAGGAGACTGTAGATAAAGAATACGTTTTATATATATTAAAATTTAAATAATAAATTTTTTAAATATCATTTTTTAAAATTAATTGCATAAAATAATTAAGTAAACTTCGAATTCGTGAAATGAACTCTACAATTAAAATTTTATTTCTTTTACTATTTTTAAAATTTAAAACCTTACTAATGAATTAAGATAATGATTTATTAAGTAAATTATAAACCCCAAAGACCCGTCTTAAAGAAATTTAATAAAGTGTTTGTAGAAGAAAGACTTTGATCTCATCATAGAAGACTTGGTGCTATCTATGTCATATGATAACCGTTTTAAAGATGCTTAGTTGGCTTTTCCTTTGATCATCTCCTTTATCATTAAAAGAAAAAAAGAATTTTGCTTCTTTTTCAAATGTCAACACTTTAAATTTAATATAAAATATATATTTAAATTTTTTTAAATATTAACGATTAAACATGTGTTACGCATTATTTTGTGTTTTGCGATTGTTTTCGCTTTTTCTGAGGAACTAGACTTTTGAATTCAATTTCAGACATGAATTGATTTTGAAGAACTAGACTCGAAAACCCTATTTAAGCAAGCTTTATGGGCTCTTCCTTAACCGTCCTACCTACCATTGCATCACTTTAGTTTCCTCTCTTTCGAACTCTTTTCTTACTATGCATCCCACAATAATGAACAACACCTACTTTCATTTTCTTTCATTTTTGTTTATGCAATGTTTCATGGTTAGCTTAGCTATGACTGTGAGGAATCTGACCACTGATCAATTTGCACTACTCCAGTTTAAACACCTTATCCTTGATCCTCACAATGTCTTGGCAGACGATTGGACGGCCTCTAACTCTGTTTGCACCTGGCTTGGTGTTTCTTGTGGTGTCAAACATGGAAGGGTCACATCCTTGACTCTCCCAAAGATGAATCTTACAGGAACAATCCCTCCTCATCTTGGAAATCTCTCATTTCTACTTTCTCTCGATTTGAGCAGCAACAATTTCTATGGCAATCTACCCAAAGAACTGGGGCAACTGCATCGTTTGAGGCTCATTGATTTAAGCTTCAACGGCCTTAATGGGAGGATTCCATCATGGCTTGGGAAATTACATAGAGTTGAAAAGTTGAGAATGAAAAATAATAGTCTCACAGGCACAATTCCTCAAACACTTGTTAATATGTCCAACCTAGAGATCTTGCACTTGGGGAACAATCAACTATCCGGTCAGATTCCATCTTCCATCTTCAAGATTTCCTCTTTGAAAGAGATTCATCTCCAACAAAATAGTCTTTCTGGTAGTTTGCCAGATGATTTGGGTGTCCATCTTCCTAAAGTTGAGATACTTGGCTTGAGTGTAAATGAATTATCCGGTTATATTCCATCAAGTATAGGCACATGCAGCAAGCTTCAAAAATTAGGATTGTCTATTAATCAATTCAATGGGTTCATTCCAAGAAATATTGGAAATTTAACACAACTCAAAGAAGTATATTTGGGTTTAAATAACTTAGAAGGTAAGCTTTAATTTGATTTCTTTAGTCTAAACACATTTTCATTCCTTTTTCATTTTTTCAATGCAAAATTTTTAATTTTCCAAACTAATATATTGAAATAATTACACAAAAATAGGTAGTCAAGCTAACACTTTGATTATTTACCTTGTTTGCAGGTGAAATTCCTAAGGAAATTGGTAATCTTTTTAGTTTAGAGATATTAAGTGCTGTAAGGATGGGCCTTACTGGTAAGATTCTAGCTTCCATCTTCAACATTTCTTTTCTGACCAGTGTTGCTCTACAAAATAATAGTTTATCAGGTAAATTGCCTGATTAGATGCGTCATCATCTTCCTAATCTTAAGGGGCTTTGCTTAGCTAAGAATCAATTATCTAGTAATATTCCATCGTATAAGTTAATGCTACAATCTACAAAGTTTGATATTATCTATAAATCAATTCACAGGACTCATTCCAAAAAGTATTGGAAATTTAACCATGCTCAAAGAACTATATCTAAATGAAAACAGATTGGGAGGTATGCTTTTACCTTTGATTTTATTTTTTTATGTTAAAAGCATTCTATTTAATTTTGTTTCTTCAAGTAGTTCATAATCTTTTTAGAGTTATTTGGTTTCACGTAGATTTTTTTGTTAGAAATTTTTAGGGCCAAAGTTAACTTAATAAGACTCGGTGCTAGAATATTTTTTATTTGTATGATTGCAACCTATTTTCAGCCTCTCTTCGCTACCATACACTAGCTAAATTTTCTTTTTTTTAAGGTATAAAAATTGAATTAATTTAGTCCAAAAAATATATATAATTGAAGACTAGTGCTATAAAATGTATTTTGAATTTAAACATGCTCAAAAAAATACATACAGTTGAAAATAATTTAGAAGGTATGCTTTTGGCTTCAATTTTTTCTCAAGTCAAAAAACATTTTATTAAATTTGTTTTCCTTTTTTAGTTCACAATTTTAGCGATTAGAATTAGAAAATTTTTAGTGTCAATTTATTATTATATATTTTTTATTTGCATATACTGTTTTGATCATTTTAAAGTATTTTACATTAATAAAAGTTTAAAAATTAATTAAAAAAAACATAATATAAATTCAACGTAAATGATACATTTTTTCTTAAATAAGAATGATTGAAAATCTCGTTGACCTTACTGTCTTCGGCTTAAAGCCCCTGGAGACAACCTTGAATCACTTACCCTTTAGAGCCCTATCACCTATGCCCATCAGCTAGGCAATAAACCCACTCAAAAATCCCACAACTAACCACCCACCCCAGTAACAAATTATTCACAGCAACTCAATAAATTAAACCACCAAACAACGAACAAAACAAAAAGATTTGGATAGAATAGTATCGCGACCAAGACCTCCTTTCCTAGTGCTGATCAACCAACCTACTTGCCCTCCCTCCTTATTTCCTCCGTTTTCTTTTATAAATTAGCTTCCTCATCCCCTGTACACATCATTCTTGTCTTCCAGCTCGTAGCTCTTTCGACTTACCGCTTGCTCGTCTCCTCTGGCCACGATACGCAGTTGTTTGGCCACCTCCCAAGTGGCTTCCGCTTCCCTCCACTCTTCTGCCTCTTCCCAAACTCTAGATAACACTCTATTTCGACTCCGAAAACCACCGTCTGAGATGGAACCGTTTGCAATCTTATCAGATTCTTCGGTTACTGCAGAGATTTGTTCCTCCCTTCTATTCTTTTTAACTCCCCCTTTTCCTTTTTTGTTCACCCTCCCCATTAATTTCTCCTCTATATCCTCGTAGAATTTCCACCTTTTCCCCTTTCTCTGAATCCCGGCAGTTCCCTTCCCAGCCCTCAATTCTTCTGTTTCTTCAACTATTAATTGGCTTACTTCCTCTATATCATTAAAGCGGTCACTCTCTTTCACGACTTGGCCCAAGCCCATTTGCCCATTTGCTCCACTCTATCAAATGCAGCCTTGTCCAATGGGCCTAGCTGATCCACTCCTTGCAAGGTTCTAGTTATACTATCCTTAACACTGTCTTCACCTTCCTCTTGTCGCACCTGATTCTTCTCTCCCTCTGCCATTCATTTGACCATTCGAGCCCGTATTGTTGTTTCCTATGCTAGATCCCTGGGAATCGCTTTCACTCTGTGACACCCCTCTAATTCCATCTTGTTTTTTCCATGGCCCATATCATTACTTTCTCTCCTTCCAAGCAACATTTCCGAATTTCAAGGTGGTAATTGTAGCTTGTCCACTTTCTGCTTGCACGGCCCGTCTTTCCAAAATATTTGGCAGCTCTCTCTAAAGCAGAAATTTTCAATATAAAAAAAAAAAAAAAATGAATGAAGAAACGTAACCCAAAGGCCAAAACTAAGAAACAGTGAATATGGGAAAAAAATAAATTATAGTAGAGTTAATAATTCGTGTATGTTAAAATATTAATAATTTAGATATATGTCTTATGCTTTATTTAAAAATAATGTGTCGTAATTTATGTTGGTATTAATGTATCAAATATTTTAAAAAATTTTTATAATTTTTATTAAAATTTTAAATTGTATCATTCTCATATTTTATATTTCTATCGTATTATTATATCGTTTTTTAAAGTATCATATTTAATTTATTATTTTTATAAGTATAGAGATCTATTAAGTAAATTTTGAATTAAAATGGAGCTTTCATTTGTTTTTTTTTTTTTAATATAGGACATTGCAATTCAAGAATAAGAAAAAATATTATAGGAATTGGGATTTAAATCTCAAACTTACTAAATGTTTTGATTTTAAGGATATTATATAAGTTAATTGAATTAAATTTTAAATTCACTTTTTCTTAATGAAATAGTGTTTAGGATTATCAATTATGCATATTGTCTTGTGAGTTGATAATGTAATTGAAGGAATAATTAAGCTATAATTAACCCACAAAAAGTTAGTTTAATCGGTAAAGAAAAGACTTTCAATTCTACACTATCCGAAGTCCAATTCTTGTGGGGAACATTTCAAAAATAAAGTCTTGAATGCAACAAATCAATAAGGAAAATGCACCGTTAAGATGTCTTAAAAAAAAATTAAATCTAAACAAAACTTGAAAATATCTCATATCATATTTTAAAAAAAACACTATGATTAAAATATGAAATTAATCTCTTATATATGACAAAAATGTGTTATAATATACAAGTCCATAAACTTGATCGCTAAACACAAATAAAAATGTCTTTATCAATTTTTTTTATTTAGATGTAATTAGTCATCTAATTAATCTTATTCATTTTAAAGAGATATCTTAAGCTTAACTCAAGCTTTTAAAAAAGTAGATTTTAGTCTCTGAAATCAAAGTAGGTTTAGGAGTATGGTTATGTGCAAAAAAAATTATAGGTCCTTACAATATTTATCCAAATGATGGCATTAGTTAATTTTGTGTTATCTATTAATCTTTAAAGTTATCTATAAAAAAAATCCTCAAATTGAAAATTCTAGTTTTAAGAAATTTTCCTTACTTAAATTGTTTAGTAGTAATTTAAAAATATTTTCTAACATCAAGAGTATTCAAGAAGATTGGTATTACCTTTGAAATGGCTCCTTCATCCAATTTTATTCTCAAAAATTTATTTTTTAACATGAAGGAAACTGTAAATAAGGATTACATTTATAAATATTAAAATTTAATAATAAAATTTTTAAATATTATTTTTTAAAATTAATTACATAAAATAATTAGGTAAACTTCGAATTTGAGAATTGAACTCTACCATTGAAATGTTATTTCTTTTATTATTTTTCAAATTTTAAAACTTTACTAATGAATTAAGATATCGGTTTATTACAGCCTTTTTATTATTATTATTGTTATTATTATTATTATCTATACATTCCTATCACCTAGTTGCACTTGGTTCTATTCTTGGTATGCCAAAAAAAATTCATGATTTTTTATGGTAATTCTTTTTAAAGGCAAAGAATATTATTAACGAATATAAACCCTCACTACGAAATCCAATTAATTCCATCAAGTTAGATGTTTTTTTTTTTTTTTTAAATGACAGCACTTTAAAGTTTAATAAAAATATATTTCTAAAATTTAAATGTCGACAACTACGTTAGTGTTGGACTAATATTTTTGAGAAATAAAATTGAGTTTTTTTTTTTTTTCTATTAGTTTTTTAGGATATGTTATAAATGGTTGAAGGTACGGAATCACAAAATTGATTGAAGCAAAAATGATATGTTATATAAATCAAGTTTTTTAGGTCACATATGAAAATGAAACATTACCAAAGACTAATTAAATCTAATGATGTAATTTATTTTAATTTAATTTCGACATTCAATCAAAATGAAAAGACAAAAGAAATTGCTCAAAAGACGAAAGAATTGCAGATGGGAGAAAGCTAGTGTAAATCATTTACTAAAAATACATTAATTTCCAATCAATCCCATTGATTGTAAAAAAGTGAGTGAATAATCAAAGCAAATTATAAACCCCAAAGACCCGTCTTAAAGAAATTTAATAAAGTGTTTGCAGAAGAAAGACTTTGGTCTCATCATAGAAGACTCGGTGCTATCTATGTCATATGATAACTGTTTTAAAGATGTTCAATTGGCTTTTCCTTTGATCATCTCCTTTATCATTAAAAAAAAAAAAAAGAATTTTGCTTCTTTTTCAAATGTCAACATTTTAAATTTAATATAAAATATATCTTTAAAATTTTTTAAATATCAACGACTAAACATGTGTTTCGCATTGTTTTGTGTTTGGTAATTGTTTTCACTTTTTTTGAGGAACTAGACTCATGAATTCAATTTCACACATGAATTGATTTCTACTTTTTCAGAAAATGTAAACATTGCTCAGAAAACATTTTTTAAAAGTCAATTTTCGTAAAATGAATAGAGCCAGAATAAGTCTAACTTTAAACTTTCAATAATAAATAAATAAACTCCCCAACATTGACTTAAGGCGATAAATGGTGAAAAGACAAAAGAAAATTCATTGAAATTCACTTATGTGAGTATGAAAGAAGTAGAAACCCTGTGTAAAATTCCTTACTTAAGCTTTCGTTTTGGTAACTATCAAAATAATTTCCTAATGTTCATTTCTTCATTTTTCTTATTTGGATGTTTAAAATATTTGAAAGTTAATTTTCACTAAAAATATTTTTTAAAAGGTTTATTTCAGATTATCAAACGAAGCCTCAAAATACATTTAATTTTCAATTAATTCCATTGACGGGGTAGCTGAGTCAATAACCAAATTATATAACCCACAAAGACCCGTCTAAGGAAACGCTTAAAGTGTTTGGAAAATAAAGACTTTGTCCCATTATTATAGAAGACTAGTTTTATCAATACCGTATGATAATTGTCCTAATTCCTTTTAAGTAATGTTTGGTGTATAATATGATGAATAAAACAAAATAATAATTATTTTGTCTCAATTTGATTTAATCTTTTCAAAATGAAAAGAATAATTTTTAATCCATGAGATTAAATTTAAATTTATTATTATATTTTTAAAAATTATTTTAATAATTTAAATTATATAAATTTAAAAAATAATAATTTTAATCAATAAATAAAATTATTTTAGTTTAATTTTTACATAAATCAAATATAAGATAGAATGACATTATTTAATTTGATTCCATTCATAGAATGACATTATTTAATTTGATTCCATTCACAATATTATTTTTTCTTATTTTATTTGTAGTCTTGTATACCAAATAAGCTGTTAATTTTGAAAATGTCCACGTCACACTAATAATATCTTTCTAGATTCTTTTTTTTTTTTTTAATTTGACACGGTGTAGATGACTAAAAACCATCCACACAAGTTAATTCCAACTATTAAAGATAAAGTCTCATTTTCTTGTTACTATTTTGTTTGCATATGAAGAATACGTCAAAAGTAAAATTTTAAACGTATCAAATCAATACGAAATATTTATTCTTAATAAAATTAAACTAAGGTTAAACCCAAAATATCTAACTGTATTTTCAGGAAAAAAAAAAAAAAAGATCACGAAAGATCAAAGGAATAACATTTAGGATATGAGTACTATTAATAGAGGTCAAGTGGCCCCATGTAAGTATGCTCAGTTTGGCTTTTCCTTTGATCATCCCCTTCTTTCGCATAGAAAAAAAAAAAAAAAAGAATTTTGCTTCTTTTCATAATGTATTAGCATTGTCTATTAATGGGTTCATTCCAAAAAATATTAGAAATTTAACACTTTTCAAAGAAGTATTGGGTTTAAATAATTTACAAGGTAAGGTAAGAATTTGCCTTTAAAATGCATGCAAATTCAAGGAGTGGGGAACAAAACAGCTGTCATTACATGTACAGATCAAGACTTTAATGGTTAGAATTGCATAATTATTTGCAATAAACTGATGGTGAAATGAATAGAAAGGAATATTTTAATTTCGATTAAGAAAATGAATACAAAAATGGGTTTTCAATCTCCATCATGAGGACTTATAAGGTCAAGCAACGGAGAGGAAACTTGTGAAACTAACGGAAAATCTTACTAGAATTACTTTCCAATTGCAATGGGAACAACGAACGTGGACTACCCTATTTAAGCAAGGTTTATGGGATCTTCCTTGTTCATCCTAGCTATCAGTTCATCAATTTAGGTTCCTCTCTTTCGAACTCTTTTCTTGATACGCATCCCAAAATCATGAACAATACCTATTTGCTTTTTCTTTCATTTTTGTTTATGCAATGTTCCATGGCTAGCTTAGCTATGACTGTGAGGAATCTCGCCACCGATCAATTTGCACTTCTCCAGTTTAAAGACCATATCCTTGATCCTCACAATGTCTTGGCAAACAATTGGACAGCCTCCAGCTCTGTTTGCAACTGGCTTGGTGTTTCTTGTGGTGTCGGACATGGAAGGGTCACATCCTTGACTCTCCCAAACATGAATTTTACAGGAACTATCCCTCCACATCTTGGAAATCTCTCGTTTCTACTCTATCTCAACTTGAGTAGGAACAATTTCTATGGCAATCTACCCCAAGAATTGGGGCAACTTCATCGTTTGAGGCTCATTCATTTAAGCTTCAACGGCCTTAATGGGGTGATTCCATCATGGCTTGGGAAATTACATAGAGTTGAAAAGTTGAGAATGAAAAATAATAGTCTCACAGGGCACAATTCCTCAAACACTTGTTAACATGTCCAAACTAGAGATCTTGCACTTGGGGAACAATCAACTACCCGGTCAGATTCCATCTTCCATCGTCAAGATTTCCTCTTTGAAAGAGATTCATCTCCAACATAATAGTCTTTCTGGTAGTTTGCCAGATGATTTGGGTGTCCATCTTCCTAAACTTGAGATACTTGCCTTGGGTGTAAATGAATTATCCGGTTATTTTCCATCCATCAAGTATAGGCACATGCGGCAAGCTTCAAATATTAGCATTGTCTACTAATCAATTCAATGGGTTCATTCCAAGAAATATTGGAAATTTAACACAACTCAAAGGAGTATATTTGGGAGTAAATAACATAGAAGGTAAGCTTTAATTTGATTTCTTTAGTCTAAACACATTTTCATTCCTTTTTCATTTTTTCAATGCAAAATTTTTAATTTTCTAAACTAATATACTGAAATAATTAAACAAAAATAGGTAGTCGAGCTAGCACTTTGATTATTTACCTTGTTTGCAGGTGAAATTCCTAAGGAAATTGGTAATCTTTATAGTTTAGAGATATTAAGTGCATCAACTATGAGCCTTACTGGTCAGATTCCAGCTTTCATCTTCAACATTTCTTTTCTGACCATTGTTTCTCTGACAAATAATAGTTTATCAGGTAGATTGCCTGATTATATGTGTCATCATCTTCCTAAGCTTAAGGGGCTTTACTTAGCTAAGAATCAATTATCTGGCAATATTCCATCAAGTATAGGCAAATGCTGCAATCTGCAGAGTTTGATATTATCTATAAGTCAATTCACATAGCTCATTCCAAAAAATATTGAGAATTTAACCGTACTTAAAGAAGTATATCTAGGTAAAAACAGATTGGAAGGTATGCTTTTGCCTTTGATTTTTTTTTCTATGTTAAAAGCATTTTATTTATTTATTCTTTTATTTTAGTTCATAATCTTTTTAGAGTTATTTGGTTCATCATAGATTTTTTCATTAGAATATTTTAGTGCCAAAGTTAACCTAACAAGACTCGATGCTAGAATATTTTTTATTTGTATAATTGCAACGTATCATCAGCCTTTCTTCGCTACCATACACTAGCTAAATTTGCTTTTTTTGAGGTATAAAAATTGAATTAATCTAGCCCAAAATAAATATAGTTCAAGACTAGTGCTATAAAATGTATTTTGAATTTAAACATACTCGAAGAAGTACATATAACTAAAAGTAATTTAGAAAGTATGCTTTTGGCTTTGATTTTTTCCCAAGTCGAAAAACATTCTATTAAATGTGCTTTTCACTTTTGGTTCACATTTTTTGTAATTAGAGTTAGCAAATTTTTAGTGCCAATTTATTGCCTTATATTTTTTATTTGCATATACTCAAGTATATATGATCACAACCTATTTCAAAATTTGAATTAAATAATGTTTATTTTTTAAAATTTAGCACTGCATTTGACTGTAATATTTTGTAATATTTTATTACAAATTAAATACTAAATAAATGTTTTGATTATTTTAAAGTATTTTACATTAATAAAAGTTTAAAATTAGTTAAAATAAACATAATATAAGTTCAACGTAAATGATGCATTTTTTCTTAAATAAGAATGATTGAAATTAAATCTCGTTGACCTCACTATCTTTGGCTTAAACCCCCTGAAGATAGCCTTCAATAACTTATCTTCTACACTATGCATAGATTGTGGATAGGAGGAGGAAAGGAAAGAAAAGGAAAATAAAGAAAAGTAATAAAAATAGAAAAATATATTTATATATCATATGTTATTTTATTAAAAAAATACTATAATAAATTTTCTTTACTATTTATTTAAACAATAATATTAAAATTTTATTTATTAATTTTAATTATTCAAATAAAAAATACATGTGCTCTTTTTTCTCCTTTAATTTTTTTTTCTTTCCTTTATTAATATTTTCCAAACTGAATTAGAGCCCTATCACCTATCCCATCGGCTAGGCAATAATAACCCACTCAAAAATCTTACAAGGGCCATAATCTCCTAAGTTCACAGGGTAACCGATTTTCTGATACCTTTTCACCATTTTGACTTGTAATTAATTTCTCACTGTTTGGGCTTTCGTAACTCCACACGTACCGCCAACATTTGACAACTTCACCTTCATTTTAACACTGTCATTCACACAGAAATCCCACGAGTAACAACCACCCCACTAACAAATTCTTTCATAACAAATCAATAAATTAAACTACCAACCAACGAATAAAACAAAAAGATTTAGATAGAATAGTATCGCGACCAAACCTCCTCCCCGACTTGCCGCCTCCAGATGTCCTCCGTTTCCTTTGATAAATTAGTTTCCTCATCCCCTGTACACGTCATTCTTGCCTTCCAACTTGTACATCTTTCGAATTACCGCTTGCTCGTCTCCTCTCGCCACGATACCTAGTTTTTTGGTCACCGCCCTAGTAGCTTCCGCGTCCCTCCACTCTTCTGGCTCTTCCCAAACTCTAGATAACACTCTATTTCGACTCCGAAAATCCCCGTCTGAGATGGAACCGTTTGCAATCTTATCAGATTTTTCGGTTACTGCAGAGATTTATGCCTCCCTTCTATTTTTTTTAACTGTTCTTTTCCCCTTTTTGTTCACCCTTCCTATTAATTTCTCCTCTATATTCTCGTTGAATTTCCACCTTTTTGCCTTTCTCTGAATCCCGGAGTTCACTTCCCAGCCCTCAATGCTTCTGTTTCTTCAACTATTAATGGGCTTACTTCCTCTACATCATTAAACCGGTCACTCTCTTTCACGACTTCGCCAGGCCCATTTTCTCCACACTATCAATGCCGCCTTATCTAATGGGCCTAGCTGATCCCTGGGATTCCCTTCCACTCTCTGACACCCCTCTAATTCCATCTTGTTTTCCATTGCCCATATCATTACTTTCTCTCCTTCCAAGCAACACTTCCGAGTTACAAGGTGGTAATTGTAGCTTGTCGCCTTTCTGCTACACTGCCTGTACCCAAAGGCCAAAACTAAGAAACAGTGAATATGGGAAAAAAAATGAAATATTGTAGGGTCGTTAATTTCATATATTCATGTCATATAAAATAAATTATGTGTTATAATTCGTGTCAATTTATAAAGTATCAAATATAATTTTTTTGCTTTGTCAAATTCATTTAAAATTTTTGTTAAAATTTTAAATCATCTCACCTTAATATCTTTTATTTGTATTGTATCATCATGTTATATTTTAAATTATCAAATTTAATTATTATTTTTGCAAAGTACCAAGATCTTTTAAGTGAATCTTGAAGTAAAATGTAGGCTTTCAAAAGGCCTGATTTTTGTACTTTTGTCTTTTCTTAATATAGGACATCGTTGTCCTATAATAAGAAAAAATATTGTAAGTATTGGAGTTCAAATTTTAGACTTACTGGATGTTTGGTTTTAAAGATATTTCATGAGTCAATTAAATTAAATTTTAAATTCACTTTTTCTTGATGAACTAGTATTTAGGATTATCAATTATGCATATTGTCATATGAGTTGATAATATAATTGAATGAATAATTAAGCTATAATTAACCCATAAAGAGTTAGTTCAATTGGTAAAGAAAGGAGTTTCAATTTTACACTTCCTAAGTTCAATTCTTGTGGGGAGCATTTCAAAAATAAAGTCTTGAATGTAACAAATCAATAAGGAAAATGCACCATTAAGATGTTTAAAAAAGAAATTAAATCTGAACAAAATTTGAAAATACTTTATACTATAATTCTAAACAAAAAAATTATTGTTAAAATATGAAATTAATCATTTATATATGACAAAAATATGTGTTATAATGTACAAGTTTGTAAACTTGATCACTAAACAAAATACAAAAATCACCACAAATCTTTTTTATTTAGATGTGTTGGTTAACTAATTAATTTTATTCTTTTTAAAGAGATATCTAATCTTAACTCAAGTTTTTAAAAGAGTAGATTTTAATTTATGAAACCAAAGTCATTTCGAAAGTATGGTTATATGCAAGAAATGTTATAGGTCCCTATAACTCCTATCAAAATAATGATGCTAGTTGATTTTGTTTTATCTATTAAGCTTTAAAATTATCTTTAAAAAAAATCCTTAAATTGAAAATTATAATTTTTAAAAAATTTCCTTACTTGAATTATTTAGTAGCAATTTAAAAATATTTTCTAACATCAAGAGTATTCAAGGAGATTACTGTCACTCTTGAAAAGACTCCGTCGTCAGATTTTATTTTCAAAATTTTATTTTTTCAATCAATAAAATCCTTCAAATATATTAGTAAGATTTTATTTCCCAAATAAAATTCTCAAATAGTTTGATAAGGTTTAGTTTTTTTTTTTTTTTAATTCATGAAATACTCAAATAGTTTTGTAAAATTTTATTTTTCCAATAAGATCCTTTAATAGTTTAATAATCTGGAAATTTAACACAACTCAAAGAAATATATTTGAGTGTAAATAACTTAGAAGGAGAGCTTTAATTGATTTCTTTAGTCTAAACGCATTTTTATTTCTTTTTTCATTTTTTCATTTTTTCAATGCAAAATATTTAATTTTCTAAACCAATATACTAAAATAATTAAACAAAATAGGCAGTCAAGTTAACACCTTGATTGTGTTTCTTATTTGCAGGTGAAATTCCCGAGGAAATTGGTAATCTTCTTATTTTAGAGATACTATATTTGGCAGATACGGGCCTTACTGGTCGGATTCCAGCGTCCATCTTCAACATTTCTTCTCTGACCGCTATTGATCTACATAATAATAGTTTATCAGGTAGATTGCTTGATGATATGTGTCATCATCTTTCTAAGCTTAATCACCTATTTTTATCCAATTAAAACTTGTTTTCATTTTTTTTTATTTTTCATTCCGAATTTTTTCAAAAATAAGAACACAAAAGATAAAAAATTGAAAACAATAAACAAAGAAAATGTAAAAAAAAAAAAGATAGATAAATAAAATAAATTGTAAAAATAAAAAGATAAAGACAGATAAATAAAATAAAGTGTAATAATAAAATAAAAAATAAAGATAAATAAATAAAATAGAAAAATAGAAAAAAAAAGATAAAGAAGGAAATTAGATTTTTTATTTTTTCCTTTTAAATTTTTTAATTTCTAAATAAAATAAAATGAAGAAAGAGAAAATAAGCCTAATCTGAATCAAGACCAATTAGTAAATTAAAACCTAAAGCAATTGTTGCCCTTAAGTAAAAATGTTGATTTAAATGGGTTACTTCAAAATTCAATTACATGCCTTATTGGACCTAAATGAATTTTGAAATTTGAAAGATCCTAGAAATACTATGGATTTAATCTCTTTTCATTTATTTTTACAATTTAAATTTTTAAATTTTTATATTATTATATGAAATATGAATTTCAATCTCTTCTTCGACACCATTCAATTGGTGATGTGTGTTTATTAGCTTGATGATAGTAATATATTTCACTTCTAAAACAAAGATGATCTTTCTATTTAAATTTAAAAATAAAATTTATTGGATTGGTGGTTGATTTCTTGGTACAAAATTTTCTATGAAAATAAACATAAATTACAAACATTACAATATTTTTCTTTCAACTTTTTTTTTTTCGATTTTAGTTTTTATCTTATCAAATTTACTCTGTTTGACAAAATTGTGGTAAGCACAAAATACTAAAAGATTTAGTTTTTTAACAGGTAACTTGCCACCCATGGCTGGGCTTCAAAAACTTGGAAAGCTCGTTCTATGGGGAAATAATCTTAGCGGAAACATTCTCAACTCCATCTCTAATGCTTCCATGCTCATGATCCTTGACGTATCAGATAACTCCTTCTCTGGCCTTATTCCAAATACTCTTGGCAACTTAAGACATCTTGAGTGGTTTCAAATTAGGGGTAATCATTTTATCACAGAACCTGCCACTCACGAGTGGAGCTTTCTCTCTTCTTTGGCAAATTGCAAGAATTTGAGATTTCTATATGTTTCACTAAATCCATTGAATGGGATTCTTCCAACTTACATTGGGAATCTTTCAACAACTCTTCAAGAACTTTTAGCTTCTGATTGTGAGCTTCAAGGTAATATTCCACTGGAAGTCGCTAACTTAAGCAACATGTTTCTCTTAGACCTTAGCAATAATAAAATAAGTGGATCTATTCCAGCGACAATAGGAGGACTACGAAATGTCCAAAGTTTGACCCTTCAGACTAACGAGTTACAAGGGCCCATCCCTGAAAAAATCTGTGGTTTGGAGAGATTATATACACTGAGCTTATCTTTTAATAAGCTCAGTGGACCTATGCCTGCCTGTTTGGGTAATTTGACTTCTTTAAGAAATCTTTACTTGGGATCCAACAAATTGAGTTATGCAATACCCTCAACCTTGTGGAGCCTTAAAGATATCTTAAAAATAGATTTGTCCTCAAACTACTTTAGCGGCTCACATCCACTTGACATCGGACATTTAAGGGCACTAATGTGTTTGAATTTGTCAAAGAATCTACTAATGAGTGATATGGTGTCTACAATTGGGGGCCCTGAAACATTGGTTTCTTTAGATTTATCTAATAACAAGTTTCATGGTCATATTCCTGAGTCATTTGGTGGCTTGATTAGTTTGGAATTCTTGGATTTATGCAATAACAATCTCTCTGGAGTTATTCCCAAATCATTGGAAAAGCTTTCGAATCTAAAATATTTTAATGTTTCCTACAATAGATTGGAAGGAGAAATCCCCACTGGACGATGTTTTCAAAACTTTTCCTATGGATCATTCATGAAAAATTATGCACTTTGTGGTCCATCTAGATTGCTAGTCCCACCTTGCAAGAGTAGCATCCACAGAAATTCCAAGTTGACCATATTGCGTGTTTTAAGGTATGGTTTACCATCAATTGCTACTATTGTAGTAACAATAATTTTTACTATTATATACAGAAAACGCCAAAGTAGGAGTATAACTCTACCTGTTAAGGAAGATTTGTTATCTTTGAAAACATGGAGAAGAATTTCATATGCTGAACTTTCACAAGCAACAGATGGATTTGGAGAATGCAACTTTCTTGGTTCAGGGAGTTTTGGATCTGTATATAAAGGGAGGCTTTCAGATGGGATGAATGTTGCAATAAAAGTTTTCAATTTGCAGATAGAGGGAGCATTTAGGAGTTTCGACACTGAATGTGAAGCTATGCGTAATATAGTCCATCGCAATCTTGTCAAGGTCATTACTTGCTGCTCCAATGTGGACTTCAAGGCCTTGGTGCTTGATTTCATGCCTAATGGAAGTCTTGAAAAATGGTTACATTCTGAACATTATTTTCTTGATATCTTACAAAGGATCAATATAATGATAGATGTTGCATCAGCTCTAGAATACCTTCATGCTGGACAACCAACTCCTATAATCCATTGTGACCTAAAGCCAAGTAATATTCTACTAGATGAAGACATGGTTGCGCATTTGGGAGATTTTGGCATTGCCAAGCTATTAGAAGAAGATGATTTCATGAGACAAACCATGACACTTGCAACTATTGGATATATGGCACCAGGTGATCTTTCGACTACTTATGGTTATTTTCTCTCTTTTTTTCTTTACAATTTTTTCATATTCAGGATTTTACATGATAAAGTTAGACAATCTTTTTAGAATTAGTTAATGATCAATAATACTTTCGATTATACTTGAAATGCAGAATTTGGATCAGCAGGAATTGTTTCCATAAAATGTGACATCTATAGTTACGGGATTCTTTTAATAGAAACTTTTACAAAAAAGAAGCCAACGGATGAAATTTTTAGTGAAACAATGACTATGAGGCATTGGATGAAAAGATCCTTATCTAAAGGAATGATTGATATTGCAGATGCCACTTTATTAAGAAGAGAGGATGAATATTTCATTATTAAAGCAAATTGTATATCATCCATCATGGAGTTAGCTTTGAAATGTTCAGCTGAGTTACCTGAGGATAGAAACAATATGGCAGATGTTGTGGCTATGCTCAAGAAAATCAAACATAAGTTTCTAATCAGCATTGAGCAAGTTTAATACGGTATGAAATGTGTTAGCTTGTCATTATTAATTCATTCTTCATTTTCTATTCAATTCAGCGATGATTTGGCACGTTTTGTTGTTAGATTTAGACAAATATTATCTCTTCAATCCTGTGCTATAAACCCAAGTACATAATTATAAGACCCTAAACCCATCTCTTCAATCTTGTGCTATAAAATTCTTTAAACTGTTAAAATAAATAGAAAATGCATGCAAGAAACTAATTTTCCCTCTTTGCTCTCTCAATTGCTCTCAAGCATTGGGTTCTCGCAGCTGCATTCACTGTTCTCTGCAATTGAAAGTTCATTGCAAACCAAAACCGAGATTCAGAAGCAAAAACCAAGCAGCGGACTGTGCAATCAATTCCAGTTTATATCAGCGTTGAGAGATTGAATTACTTTCTTATTTGTCAAAATGGTGATGTCTGTTTACTTGGTTGTGTCTTTTATGTTGTAAGTTGTTTTTATCTTTTACTGATGATTAGCTGTACTTCTGCCTTTAGAAAGATTTTCCCCTTCTTCTCTCTAGTTAAGTAAAATATTTACCTATCAAAATAAGTTTTAAGTTACATATTTCAATTTCATTTATCTGGAAATGTAGTTGTCTATTATTTTTGGCAATTAAAATTTCTGAATCATTCAGCTTTAGAAAATGAGTTAAAGCAATTGCAGCGCCAAGCTAAGAACAAGGTATGGATCTTTACTCAATTTGATTATTGAGATTAAGTAAATAATTAATTTGCTTACACTATAAATGTCGGAATTTCTAACATTTGTTTAGATTCCCTGAATTAATGGTCCAATTGTTGTTGCCTTTGATATCTTGAGGCTAAATTCTCAGGCCAACCACTCCCTTATGGATATTATGTAAGATTACTGTCATCCGTAGGTTGTGAAAGGTTAGGGGCCGGATAGGTTAACCAACTGACCAGTATATACAAAATTGATTTCTTGCAAGATGTAAAAGACATGTTTGCAACAGTTACGAATAAATTTGGACAACGCCTAAAATTTCCCAGATTGTATTTGCCTCGTCCTATCATTGATCTAAGCCAAGTGAAATGTTCAGCTCTTATTTTTAGTTTTTGATTTGTCTATTCTCCATCCGGGATTCATTGAAGATTCTTGGAGGGAGAGGCTCAATCTATGTGTATGTTCCCCTTTCCCTCTGTTTTGGTTAAAGTTGACTAACCCGCTTTTTATGTTCTTCAAACAAGATTTTATATGCTTTCGTATCCCATTAAGTTGAATGGAATGTTTTCCTTATCATTTGTATTGTGATTCATAACCTATGGTTTAATTATTCACATCTTTGTGGTTAATATTATTATATCATTTAATTGTCCAGATCAACTAGAATCTGTCAATCCGCAAACTGCAAAGACAAATTTGGCATCGGGAATATGGTGGATACTACATCAGAAGCTACAAGTTCCTATTTATCCTCACAAATGGGACTACATGACCAAATTATGCATGCTGATCCAAGGAACTTTCAGCAGTATGCACCAGTTGAGTCAAGGGGAACTATCAGAAGCTTCACATCAATGAAGAACAAGAGGTCGTAGAGACAAAATGAATGAGGCTCCGAAAAGAGAAAACTAAAGACAGTGATGTGCAGTATCGACTAAACCAAGAGGTAATGAAATAGAAATGTCTTTCTCTCAATTATTTTTACTCGTTTTTCCTAGTAAAGTTTTTCTATGAGGTTAAATGGCTATGACAAATTAAGGCTCTATTATCGTGATCATGAAGCTAAGTTTCAATAGGCATTTTGTAAGCCTCTCGATGAAGAAGATCATTCTCACAAACTTAAAGATGTCAATGACAAATTGAGGATCTATTTTTTATATGCCATGCTTATCCTTATATTTTTTTGCCGGCTTTCTAGCTTTAAATCCAATACCCGCCGTCATCACTTGAAGCACAAGACTTGTAGCATGGAAAACATTTTTTATGGATTCTGTCATTTCCTTTTGCTTGATGTGGTTAATGAGAAAGAAGATAGTAAATAGTAGGGAAAGTTAAAAGGGAGTTGTCACGAGGTCACAGATGAAGAGGCTGATTCTGACAGATAGCATTAGTGATTGTAATAGGAAGATTTGATTCTTCAGAAGATAGGGATGCTGCTGGATGTTCTTAACTCTTAGCAACATGTGAATCTGATAACATGTGACATTTAGTTGTAAGCTTTTCGCTCTCTACTATTTTTTTCCTCATTAATAGTTCATTTAGACTAATATAATCGCTGCAAAAGGCTTTTGTTTCCTAGCTTTTTTCACCTCAAGAAAGTGACTAAACCAATTATCAGAAATTTATACCGTACATCCTTATAAACAAAATAGGGAAAAAAACATATATGTGGTATACATATGTCTCTAAGTCTCTTTGGTGGCATTGCAGGTACATAAAAACTTCAAGGGACTTTTTAATGATGTGCAACAGTTGGGAGATACAGTTTCCCAGTGTCTCTTATTCCTACCGTTGAGAGAATCAATGATGTATTTGGTGATGTTTCTGCAACTAGTCTAATAAATCCCTGTGCTGCTGTGACCTACAATCAAAGAGATGGATGATCTACAACTTGAGCAAGTTACTGAAAAGAAAATATTTAGGTGCTGGAACACAATAAAGGATGCACTACGCATTAATTTCAATGTGAGATTTGCGATGGAACATTTGAAGAAAATTGCCCAAGCTTACTTTGGTTTGATAGGACGCCTACTGCTCCAGAGCATAGATGCAAGGATCTTACAATTAGAGGTTGAGGTGGATGAACAGAAGAGGAACCGTGCTGAGACATATGACGGATTTAATTTTGTGTATAACTGTTGCTGAAGAGTTCAATAGACTGCCTGTCAGCACAGGTCTATTTCCTTAGTCCTCCCCACCGTATACAAGATACAGAGGAAATAAACAAACCGTAATTACAAAGTAATGTATGCCCTTCTCATTGCAAAAATCTTTCAGCTATGGAGTAATCGAAAACAATTATCTGTAGAAAACCATTCCTAAAAGTACTAGAATCCCAACAGTTAGATGATATAAGTTACAATCATCATCCTGGTAAATGGAGTAATTGTTAGACTTATGGTATAATCTGCATTTTTCTTGTGATTGCAAACTGATAAATATTTGCAAATTTAAAAAATGAGAAGAGAAAGAAACCTGAGTACAGGTTTGGTAATTTTGGTTTAAAATAAAAGCAGTAATCTTCAGAATCCAATTGAGAGTATTGTCTGGACTGAAAGCTACATATTTCAAAAAGAAAACCATTACAAGAACTGTTTTAGGCTTGATTTCAATAATATAAAAATGCTTGAAACTATTAATCTTTGTTGTGTTCAATATTGGGATATGAATTTGCTACATGTATCATTTTATCAACTTCAAATCTATTTTGCTAGTTTCATTTTGGAGGTGGTCAGTCTGAGATCTTTGTGTATGCTTGATTGGTGTGGATTAATTCTGTCTTGTTGAATTTCCATGATAATGTCAATAAAGATTTGACATGTATGGATGTATAGGTTTGTAAATTTTTTTTGTTGATACTTGAGACTTCTAGGAATTAAACCTTGGACACTGGAACGATATTGCTTACAAAGACGTTATCAATTTAAAAAATCAGATGGACAATCAGGCATCTTGATCCCCTCTTAAAGTTCATTATTCTTCAAGTTCCGAAGAAACAAATATGATCTCCATGGTTATACAGGAGTAGGTGATATATCATCTTTGCAACAAGCTAATTCAACTGAACATTTCAGACAAGAATCAACTGATAAAGGCATTCATTCTGCAGGAGATCAGTCTGCCAAGTCATTACAGCCTTTTGATAATAATTGCTCTGCAAATGAAGCTATGCCAAAATGGAAACTGAGCTTGAAGGAGACAAAACTATGCAAGAATTGGAAAACGATGGTATAATGGAAATCACTTATTAGGTATCTGTACAAAGGGACAGCCGGTAGATTATCTGTACAGTGCTTTAGCCGTAATTGCTGCTCCAAAGAAGTTAGGACCGAGCTGGAAGACAGGCTTAGAATCGGGACAACTTCTCAAGAATGCCCCGCCGCAGAAATTAAATCTAATCCAAGTTGTTCTCTCTTAGACTAGGCTTGTCTTAGACTAGGCTTGAATGTCATTGGAAAAGAAGCTGCAAAGAAGTAATATTTTAAAGAGAATGAAATACTCTAGGACGCAAGGTAAACAAAGAAAGAAACTACGGCAAAAACTTTTTGATGAATTAAATACTCTTAAGAATTCAAGGTCAAGAAAGAAATAAACTTTAAATCTATTATTTTATCAATCGAGTCTATCTGTGGTTAAAATCTTTAGTAGAAAATCACTTATATATTGAGACGACGTGAATCAATCTACGATTGAAATTTTAATTGAATTAATCTGCTATTAGAAGCTTGCCAATGTTCATCATATATTTTTTTGTCATATGATGTATTTGCCTAAATAAATTACGCAAAGACTTGTACAGTCTTTCCGCTGAAAGGGCAACAAGTCTTTTTCTCAAGTATATAGCTAAAGCTTGTGCCCACGGCGGGCAACAAAATTACAGTTATGCCATCATCTCCCAAATTCTTCCATCCGCGCACTTTGCCGTCACCCACTCACCCTACTAGATCAACGATCCTGATCTTCTTCGCCCTCTTCTCCTTCACCATCGTCTCTTTCCCCTTCGCCACTCTCTTCCAGTGGGTCAGGTTACCGTTGTCGGAGCTCCGGCCCAGATCCACCTGGGTTCTTTGGGACAGAACCGGGTTTGGGAATAAAAGTGGAGCTGGTGGACAGATCCATCTGGGTTTAGAATTTCCGCTTCAGGTTAGCATTCTTTAAAGCTGCATATGCGCTCTTTGATTCTGAGTTTTATGTCAAAGCTGATGATGATATATATTTGAGGCCAGGTGACCTGATTTCTTGACTCTTTTATGCATGTGTTGGGTGGTATTCTTTACCTTCATAATTCACTTTTATGTGGCTAGTTGACAGTGTTGTACTATTGTTTTGCAGGTCGGCTATCACTTCTATTAGCAAAAGAACTCCACACTCTCAAACTTGCCTTGGATGCATGAAAAGGGGTCTGGTATTTATTGATCCTAAGCTGAAATGATTAGAAT